TTTTTTTTTTTTTTTTTTTTTTGTTCTCTAGAATTGATATCCAATTTGATTTGAATTCGTTCTCACTAATCAGAGAGTTAACAATCCTTGGTTCATTGTAAACTCTGAAGTCTTAATTATGAATTGGTGTTTACAATTAATGTATAAATACTTACCATAAATATTTTCCATAATGAACGTTCTTAAGAACTAAACCATTTGGATTATTTATATAACATATTTTTAGTTGGTCTAATCAAAATTTGCTAACTTACTCTTTATAATTATTTAACGAGTTTCTCAATTTAGGCCTAATATTCTTCTAAGAATCCCTTGTAAGAAGGATGGGGGGGGGGCTTGTTTTCTATTAAATCAGTATAAGATAACATTTGGGGATGCCCGTTTTTAATGTTTCGTACGGTCAGATCTCCCTACACAAAAACAAACGGCTCACGCAGTAAGTGGAGCTTTGAACTTAGATCACAATTGTGAACTTCCCTAAGTCATAGAATTGCTTTCTTTCCCTGTACGGTTGAGAGGATGACCTACGATTCCTTTTGCCTGCAGTGTCAGTTGGCTATGAATATGAGTCGTGCTTGGACCTGACTCTGTGGGAAAAGAGGACCGCCATTTTGCAGGGCTACGAGTTGGACGCTTCCAACATGGGTGGATGGACGCTGGATAAGCATCACGTACTGGATGTCCAGAACGGTGAGTAGGCTCTTGCTTGCTGGTCACGTTGCCCAGCCTCTTTCCGATGATGCTGCCGCAGCTTCTTATCCTCGGAGCCCTGTAGGGTTGGAATTAGTAAAACAAAATGACGGTAAAGAGATAGTTTGAAGACCATAAAAGCCTTGGAATCACATAATTCTCTTAGTGGATTTTTAAAATGCGCCTGTGTTTACTATTACAGTAATTTCCCCATTAGTGTTGGTGAGATCACTATGTCTGTGTGTGTGCCTAATCTCCACAGAAGTGTGTGCAAAAACAATTAAAAAGGGGGTGGGGAGAGGCTTTAGAAAGAGTCACCAAAACTGGATGCAAGGTGATTTACTGTAGGCCAAGATAAAAATCCATGTGACTTTACCAAGAGATTTACAGTAGGTTCTTGACTCTTAGGCAGTTAGTCAGTTCCACGTGTGTAGCTGTGTTTCCCCCAAGTTCTGTTTAGTCTGTATTGAAAAAGAAAAGGAAAAAAAAAAAAAAACAACAAACCTCTTACTCAAAAATACTGTATCTTGATTTTGTGAATATTAGGGGAAATATAAATGAATAATTTGAGAGGGGAAAAAAGCTAGCATACTACTTCTAGCAGGCCTGAGAATATGATATGAAATGTGCTCTGGAGAAATACATTTTGGACATCGCAAATACATGCCCTGTGCAGTGGGAACCATTTTCTCATGTACAGAATAGCTCCGATGGGAAGGAATTCTGTTGACTCAACTGTTTTTTCTAACACTCTGTTCACATGCTTGTCCACACATTGGAGCCTTCTCAGACTGAGAAGTCTCCGCCCCCCTTCTATGAATAGCTCGAGAAGGTGGCCATGTTTGCTGAGTAGCAATCCTTCTGACTCTTTGGAAGACTTGGAATGTTAAAATTGAGACTGTCACACAATAAAATGCTCGTGATTGATGGTTGCTTTTGGAATGATGTTTCTTTGAGGTTTGATCTATCTTTAAAAATAAGAGTATTAGAACGCACGTATCTTGGCTTCATGAGTATACTGACTCGAAAGTAGTTTCCAAGTCAGTATTTGAGAATGCTGATGCCTGACCTTAAGGGGATAAAGAAGGGTAAAGAGTGGATCACTGTGGAAGAAAAATGAAACAGAAGTACTCCTCTTGCCCTTCCTGGCTTGTGGAAGTGTTTAGCTCTCTTCCTTTCCCATGTGTCCTGGTCATCACTTTATATTCTGGAAGGTTGGGAACAGAGCTCATTTCAGGCCCACTCACTATAAATGTGTGGGTGTAGCTCAGGTGGGAAGGTGCTTGCCTAGCGTGCACAAAGCCCCAAGTTTTAGCCACATCAACACATGTATAAGCTTGGTAGCACATACCTTCAATCTCGTTCTTGGGAAGAGGTGAAGGCAAAAGGATCAGAGGTTCAAGAGCATCCTTGGCTACACAGCTTGGCACTGTATAGAAAACTTGAAAAAGAAGAGGAGGAGGAAGTGAAGAAGAAGAGGAGGAGGAGGAGAAGGAGGAGAAGGAGGAGAAGGAGGAGGAAACGGGACTCCTGCCTAAGGCAAACACTCCATATGTTATCTTCAAGCTTCCCTTGAATCATCAGTGTTGTTTGAAGCAGTGGTCATCTTAATCTGTTGATCTTTCCAAATGCACAGGCATGTGTCAACCCTGCTTGTAGCTGCTCCTGATTAAATTATTTAAAATTATATTTCATACCTTTTCTATGTATTTCCATATTTCTGCATTTCCTGCATGTGTCCTTCACAAACAAACCTCAGGGGAACACTGTTCTAGGTATGTGTTTAGTTAGGATGCAAATCCAGTGTAAAATTCATAACCAGTTAGCAACAGGATTTCTCCGGGGGACTGTAAAGGAATGGAGAGGAGGTAGGCAGCAAACCCCAGAAGGACTCCTATAATTCACCACTTTTGGGGTACTCAGTCATAGCATTCAGAAAGATTAGGCAGTGTGTAGATAATGTGTGGGGGTTAAATAATATAATCATACATAGACACACATTCTAAGTAAGAATAATATGTAGGTTTTTCTTTATTAAAACTCCAGGTCAGATTTGAAACCTGAACTGCCAAAAAGTCTGTCTTTCAAAAAAAACAAAACAAAACAACAACAAAAAAAAACTGTTGTTATAAAATACGTTACTTTAAAATGTGAGGTCGCCTAAGCTCCATGGTGGACTGATTGGAGTTTCAGATTGTATTCAAGAACGGTTTGACAAGTAGTGACTTTCCAAAGCGACATGTGTCTAATTGAATAAACAAAATGACGTGTGACGGCGACAAGCCGGACGAGCGACAGACGTAGAGAAGTCGGAGACGGCGATGTAGGAGGCGATGGCTGTTGGTTCAGGCGTCCCGGAACAGGGAGACGAAGGCTGTAAGGCCGACCGTTCTGCTGTCCTGTGATGGGGGGGGGGGGGCGTGTGAAGGGCCAGTCATTCGAAGCGATGGCATAACCCCGACGCAGGAGAGCAGCCCACTGACGAGCACGGCTCTTCTGATAAAAATTGCAGAACCAGCTCTCTCAGGAAATTATACCTCCATAATTGTCAAATAATGTAATCACAGAGAGAAGAAATCTTAGGTAGCATCCGTGTCCTCTTTGAATATTCAAGGCAAAAAAAGCATTGCATCTCTTGTTGTGATCCAGACTTATTCAAATTATTTTCCCTTAAATTTGAATAAACCTGTTTTATCATTCCTGATTTCTTTATGTAAATTGGCCATGATTATTACATCACCCAAATAGCAAGGCATTAAAAAAAAAAGTAATCATAAAATGCACCTAAAATGTTCTGAGCTATAAGGGGAATGTAATTATTCTGATCACTTCTTCACTTTCAAATTATCCCAAAGTGGAGGAAAAATCATGGTCTCGAGTTTTCTGTTTGTGCTCTGGCAAGATTATTCTTTAACGGTCTATCTGCTAAGAAGTACCGTCATTAGCTCTGAGAACTACTTTGAAGTATAGAAAGCCCAATAAATACAATATACACCGCTCTAAAGCCAATGCACTGAGTGCTTTATACAGATAATAATACACCGAGGAGTGCTGTAAAATATACATGGGGCGGGAGCAGCCGACACACCAGTGGGTGACAGACCCACGCCATTGTTACATGGGGTCACAGCGAAGAGAACCAAAATTACGTCTCAGCTCAAACCTAGGTTCTTACTAGGAAAATATTGGGAATCTTTGCTCTCCCATTTTCAGTGAAGGCCATCAAGGAACAGACTGGCATTTTTTGTCTTTGTAAAATTATTGGCTCTTCTCCGGCCTTGAGGCAGAGGGTAGTTTGGATAACAAATTGGCCTTCTGCGTCAGTTTCATTGTGTTTGGCATTTTAAATAATTGTATGTATGTGTATTCTGTGTACATACATGTATATATTTACATCAGATGAGTGTGAAGCAAGACTAGCCCTTGACATTAGGGTGGAGTTAAAAATAGGCCAGGGGGTGTGGCTCGGTGGTAGGTTGTGCTCTTACTGTCGGAAGACCTGTAAACAAACACCTTCTAACTCTGTATTCCTTAAAGCATTTTTAGCTTTTTTTAAAAAAAACAAAAACAAAAACCCAGGGTAAATTTATAAGAAACATATTCCCAGGGTACATTTTTATTAATCAGGTTAATATATAATATTTTCCACATTGATTAACAATTAGGCAAACTTTCCCTTCCCTGAAGAATATTGTATAGAGCATGGTTCTCAAACTCGGCTGCACATAAAGACCACCTGGAGACTTTTTAAAAATCTAAATGCTAAGCCTGCACCCAGACCAATTAAATCAGAATCCCCTGGGGTAAGGACCTGCCATCGGTATTTTTTTTACGGCACTCCAGACTGTTCCACTGTGCGTAGCCAAGATTGAGAATCACTGGTGTTAAGAATTTGTTTTTTTTTTTTAAATTCATCCTCTTAGTCCTTTGTTCCTCTCACTGTTTTTTTTCAAATCGTAACAAACAGTACTTTTTAAATAGACCCTATGTGATTTGTTATGTGAAGTCTTATAAATAGATGTCTTTCCGTAAGAACTCCAAAGTTTCCAGTTCTCAATCTAGGTCGTGTTTGCCTTGCATCATTCATTTCCATCATAAGAAGATGATGTGCTTTCTTCCAGGTATACTGTACAAGGGCAATGGGGAAAATCAGTTCATCTCCCAGCAGCCTCCGGTGGTCAGTAGCATCATGGGCAATGGTCGGAGGCGTAGCATCTCATGCCCAAGTTGCAATGGCCAAGCTGATGGAAACAAGCTGCTGGCACCAGTGGCGCTAGCCTGTGGGATCGACGGCAGTCTATACGTAGGGGATTTCAACTATGTCCGACGGATATTCCCTTCTGGGAACGTGACCAGTGTTTTAGAGCTAAGGTATGTCTTTCCTCTACTGGGGGCTTTAATCAAAAGCGAACATACCCTTAAAAATGAAGTTGGCTGTGATATGCTGATTTATTTATTTAAACATACACCCCGCAGAAGTTTAAAACTCACCCTAGAAAGAACTTAGTTTTTAACTAGAGCTAGGGGGTCATCCATATATAGTGTTATTAAGTGTGTGAAAGAGTAGGAAGTTGCCTGATATGGAAAATACCTTATTCCAGTGATTTTTCTGTGAACTGAAAGGTAAAAGTGTATTTTTGTTAATCACTTAAATTTTCCTTAGGATAAATACAGGACGTCATCTTACATTCTACAGCGGTTGAGAAGGAGGCCTAAGCTGTTTTCTCTAGAACCAAGATGTGATAGTAAATGGACAAGAATACTGGCCGTTCAGTTGGGTCAACCCATCCATTGGCCGTAATGCAGATAGTAAAAAGTGTCATTATCTTGCTTCCTTTCAAGTGTGATGATCAAAATCAACCAGTTTGATAAGAATTTTGCCTACAGAGTTCATTGCCAGTGTTTTCTCAGCTTAAATTGAAATATTCCACACAAGTAATTAAACCCCCAATATTGATCTCGTTATATTTCAGAAGACTTTTCTAACTCTGCTTTTCTTTACCTTTCTTTTATCTGCTTCCACCAAGAAATAAAGATTTTAGACATAGGTAAGCACCTGCTTAAAGGTTATTGCATATTTTCCAATGTCCTTTTTATGTTTCAATGTGACTCTCTGAAATTGTTTTTTAATAACATCATCTTGAGAGGAAACTTGGAATCACAAAACATCTAAGGAATTAAAACTGCTTAATTGGACAATTACATAACTAAATGCAAAATACATTGTGTGATAGAATTTTAGAAATATTTTCAAGTTGGTTCATTAAAAAAAAAATCTGTCACAAAGAATTCTAATGTGCAGTTATGATTTATGTAACCTGAGCCTTATGAAACAGAACCAAAATTGAAACATGGTAAAGTTTAAGGAGATAGTGTAGTTTGACCAGTATCCAGGACAGAGCCTGTCTTATTAGGCACAAAGCTATTTTGGTTTGGGGAGCTATGAAAATAATCTGGTAAATGTTTGTTTGTTTGTTTGTTTGTTTGTTTTTGTTCTTTTGAGACAGGGTTTCTCTCTGTAACCCTGGCTGTCCTAGAACTCGCTTTGTAGATCAGGCTGACCTCGAACTCAGAGATTCACCTGCCTCTGTGTGCTGAGTGCTGGGATTAAAGGCCTGTGCCACCACTTCCTGGCAATATTTTTTTAATGTATGTATCTATCTGATCAATATGATCATAGTGGTAGGGACCCCTACTGAACTTGGAGAGGATCCTCCTCTGTAACATCCTCTAGGTTTATCTCTGCCTGTGATTTCTCCTTTGCCAAATTGAAGAGTTACTAGGTTCAAGAAGTAGTATTTTTGGTGCCATTGTTATGAAGGAAAAGACTTTCTTTAAAGCTAAAGAATATAGAGCACCGCCAACCCAAAAGCTTTTCGTATTCTGTTGATAGGTATGCTTGCCTGAAGAAGTTACGTTCAATAAAGCCTTGTCAGGAGAGTTTTCTAACAGCCGTTCTTTAAAGACAGAAAATAAGGAGGAGGAGGGGAGAGGAGGAGGAGGACCTGCTTTAAATAAAAACTAGTGAAAAGCAAGGGTTAGACATGCCATATCTAGTTTGGCCATTGAAATATCTAATGTGGTAATATATTAAAAAGACTGATATTTTATGTCAGATATCTTAGATGAGTAAGTCAATATAGCTCACTGAAGCTGTTGTAGAGATTGACAGCTAGCAAAAAGCGGAATCCTACTGACAGATGTGTAACTGTTGCAGTTCAGAATACCCAGGCACGGTCCCAGGACCCTTCCCTAAGATTCTGCATTGATCTTATCCTTACAACTAATGGTTCAGTCACATGCTAAAGATTAACGCTAAATCTCCCCGAAACACTGAGCATACTTTGAAAGGCCCCAACAGAATATCAACACTTTTCTGCTTGTTTTCTTGGTAGCTATGGAGAAAAGTAGAAAGACAGAAAGGCATGCAAACCAGCCCCATGTGAAAATGCTGTAGGCAACAGAGAAAAGATGATGAAAGCCTACCTTTTAACAAGCTGGCCTGTTAGATGCCAGGCATTGTGCCAGATACTTTCTTGTATGTTATTAGAGAGCCACACAGCCATCCCACAGGTTACACATGAGGTAATGGGAGTTGGAAGACATTACATCTCATCCCAAGATACACAACTAAGAAACATGAAACAGAAGTTTGAGCCGTACCTCTCATTTTTCATATGTTCACCATGGCTAGGATTCTATAGGGAGATTTTCTAGAAATGAAAAAAAAAAAAAAACATGACTAGAATTGTTTCACAGTCACTTGGCAAGTTCTTTACAACCATCATTTCTGGGGGAAAAAAAATCTGTGGTTGGAACTGTGCTGTAGAATATGAAGTCAGTATACAGTAGCACGTGGTATTTGTCAGTGACACTGCAGTGCCTCTCTGCTGGTCCTCTGTCGCTTTCCTCTGTGTGTCGTTCTGTCCATATTTGAGCTTCTGTGTTTCCTTTCTGTGCCACCTGGGCAGGATATACTATTTGGGTTGTGAATTGATACTCACGAGCATTAAAATTAACAGTGTTAAGTGATTGGTCTCCATGTGCCAGACACTTGGATGAATGGCAGTCCAAGACAAAGCTCTCAGAAAGTCACATATAATAACAAACTAGACATAAGTCACCAACTGACATCATCAGCATGATTTTTTTTTTGAGACATCATGCATACAGCTGTCCCATGAAGATGTTTCTTGGAGGAAGAGAGAACTGGGAGATACCAGCCTAGTAAGGAAGTTTCCAGAAAGGGTTGATATTTGAGCTAGATTTAGAAATTAAATCTGCTTGATCGGAACAGCAGGAAGAAAGACATTTGTGGGACCAAAAAAAAATTAATAGGGGATCTTTTTCTGTCTGCCGCCTAAGATAAAGTAAGGTAAGCAGCATATTCCAAGAGTAACCAGACCTACCCAAATAAAGCAGGGACGTGTGGGTAACAGAGAGACCCACACAACGTTGAAGCCAGTTAGAGTCAGCTAGCCGAGGGCTGCTTTGAGCTCAATGAAAAAAAATGACTCAGAGTGGAGAAATATTTTAGTGTCATAAACAAGCAGCATGTTCAAAGTGGCCTGGGAGGGATATTAATGTGCTTGATAAGATCACTTAGAGAGTTCATTCACCAGAGCATGAGAGTTGGCATACCTAAAAGAGGAAGTTTAGCAGGGAGCATCCAGTAGGAAGCCAGGCAGTGTAGAAACTGTGCCTTCTGTGTAGTTAGAAAGGTGCAGAGCAGGCCTTGCCCGGTGGCGCATGCCTCTGATCCCAGCGCTTGGAAGGATGAGGCACCTGGATTGGATTGCTGCAGGCTTACAGCCTACAGAGCGAGTAGAAAAAAAGAAAGGCAAAAAATTTACAAAGTGTTTGAGCGCCATTCATCAAACAGATAATGACATCATCGATAAAATTAATGCTTCTGTGCGTTTAATAACTATCTAAATTGATGTGGCAGAAATAAAAATATTGAAATCCATTAGAGCTTCCTCGCTTAGCTTTTTAAACACTGGAATTGTTTCCAAGCCCAGTGACACAGGCCTGTAATCCTACCTACTTAGGAGGCTGAATCAGGAACAGCAAAAGTTCAAGGTCAGCCTATGTAAGTTAGTGAGACCCTCTCAAAATGAAAAGTGGATGAAAGTCATGAGTTGTGGCTCATATAAGCCCAGCATGTAGAAGGTCCTCATCTCATACAAGAAGAAGTTTTTCAAAGGAAAGAATGGCAGAAGGAAGGAAGTGGAAAACCTGCAGAAGCATCCCCTTTTTTGCTAGCCTCGCTTTCAGGATAGCCCCCCTTCTCTGCACGGCAGGGCAGTTGTGAGTGAATCAGGAACATCAGCAGGAAGAAAGGAAATCACAAAATGTGACTCATTCTACATATAGGAATGGCATTGTCGAACGTGGATGATTCGGTAAATACAGAATATCTGCTTCTGGTCTGCTTCTCGTGTCTCACATACCATGAGCTGTCATTAACGATACTAATGGAAACAAAATAAAAATATTGGCCATGAATGTTAAGACATCATCTTATTATTTAAAGATTCAAATAGGATGCCATTATACGAGGTCACTAAGTACTGCACAAATATTCTGTAAAATAAAATTCCTTAGTTATATTGAGTTATACTCACTTATTTAATTTTTTACTTAAGTGGTAGCACTAAGATGATTGTAAAAATGGGTTTCTGTTTGACGTTCTAAATCTCCCCCTCTGATGTTTATTACTTTGCTAACAGACCCCTTTAGTAAGATAGCAAATTTTAGCTAACCCCTGTTCAAATTCCTTAAATTCCAAATTAAAAACCTTAAATTAATTCATTAAGACCAGCCAAGGGGCATTTAAACATATAGGACTTACACAAAATAAATCAACTTTTTAAATTTTATATTACCAATTAAAGGATCAAAGACAATCTCTATCGTAAGTCTTATGAGTTTGAATTAATTAAATTTTCGATATAAAATTATCAAAACTTGAGTCAGCAGTTCTTACTGGTTTAATAGAAAGACCATCTCACAGTCCCTGTTTGCAGTCATCTACAAAGTCTTTTGGTTACCGTAAAGTAGGCAGTTCTGCTTTAATACGAAAATAGAATTTGTTCTGCTGCCTCTTCTAATGCTTTGTGCACTCAGAGCTGTGGCACGGTCTCCACGTGCAAAGATAAAAGTGTTGATAGCGCGTGTTCTCTGTGCTGCTCTCTGCAAGTGTCTCTCGTCTAAGACAGCCCAACTATGAGAAAATAAGTGAGTGTAACCGGCCCGCGCTTGCCTCCAGATCTGTGTCCAATTGACAAGGCTATAGGGAAGATGTCTTGATAACTGTCATCTGGGTCATCCTGGACGAGTTAGGAATGAAGGCGCAGCATTCAAAAGACATCGCTTGAGCTCACTTCCTGGCTTTTGCCTCTGTTCGTCCCAGTTGACATTTTAAACCCTGCTGGAACAGCAAAATCAGATAGTCAGTCTCAGACAGTCAATCCCACAGAGATGCTCGGGGCTTCTGTCCCCAAAACACGCCTGCGCCCTATGGCAATTGCTTGCAGTTATCCTGACCTCCGGTTACACCCTAGACCCGGGTCTCATCAGAAGCCCACCACCCTTCCGTAGGGACACACCAACCCCTCGATGACCATTAGGTCATCAGAATGCAGGTTCTAGCACACCGTCAGGGAACTCTGCAAGCATACAAGTATATGATCCCGGGTCAAACTCCTCCTGTGTGTGTGATTCAGAATGCCACTGTCAACTAAAAGTTCTCCAAACTCACTTTTGTCCTTTTTTTTTTTTTTTTGGGGGGGGGGGGGTTAATTTTATTTTATTTCTAGAAATTTAGACACGAGTGCTATTATTTACATCATTTCTACTTCTTCCGCTTGCCAGTCCTGTGCCCCTCCCCCGCAAATGTGTGACTTCTTGGTTATTGTTACATGCGTGCATGCATGTATGCGTGTGCATACCAGTGAGTCCATACAGTGTTGCTTATCCGTACATGTGCTTAGGGCGGACCACTTGGGATTAGATAAGCTGTCAGAAAGCTCATCTCTGAAGAAAACTGAGAGAATATTCATATTCTATCCGCCTCTCTTTTTCTGTCTGTCTGTCTCAGCAGCTGTTGGTTGTCAGTAACTCTTTATCTAGGTGTGGGACCTTGTAAAAGTTCTTCCATCCATGTCAGCATGTCAACTAACAAGGAGCATATTTGTCCCGTTTTGAAGCTCTGTAGAGATGTCTGCCACCTATGTGAGACTCAAGCTGTCCTTTGCCACCCAAGACTGCCCCTCCTCTCCTGGACCATGAGCGGTTCCACATTGCTCTGGACGACAGAATTGTGCGCACATTGAGGCCTTTCACTGACCAAATTTTGTAAAGCTATGTTGCTTGGCTTGAAAGTGTCTGTGTCTTCAGGACACTGATGCAAACTCAGTCCCAGCACAATAAAGGCAGGTGGAGAGTGAGTTTGAAGCCAGAGTAGGCTACACTGTGAGCTCAAGGCTAGCCTAGGTTATATGATGAGACCCTGTCTCAACAGAAAAGGGAAAAATGAAGCCCCTGTGTGCCGAGGAAGGAAGGAGATACATTACTCAGCAGATCTAACCCCATCCCCTCAATTTGATCTCATTACCAACCAACTGGATAATCCTGGTACCAGCCAAAGAGCCCAGTTTATGGCTTGATTGTATTGGTTTTGCACCAAGAAATCTCATGCCCCATGGTTAAAGAGTGGGCTGCCAACTCTCAGGTAGCCAAAATCTAATGTATCAAAATGAAGGATATGATTACAAAATATACATGGTTCATGTAACTTTGTTCTTGAAACAGTTTAGTAGACACTTTTTTTTTGGTAAAGATAACTTACTTTTTTAATTTTATACTAGTTTATTTATTTTACATCCCAAGGGTGCCCCCTTCCTCCCCTCCTCCTAGTCCCCCATTTCCCCTCCTCCCTTCCCCTCTCTCTTTTTCCCCAGAAAAGGGGAGCCTCCATCCACCCCTTCACCATATTAACCCTCCCCAGCACATCAAGTCACATCAGGACTGAGCATATCTTCATCCGCAGAGGCCAGGCAAGTCAGTCCTGCCAGAGGGAAGTGATCCAAAAGCAGACAATAGGGTCCATGTTAGAAAGAGCCCCTCCTCCACTCACCAGGTGCCCCACCTGAAGACCACGCCCCGCTTTGGCTACATGTGTGCCAGGGGCCTAGGTCCAGAACATGCATGTTCCTTGGTTGGTCTCAGTCTCTGTCAGCCCTGTTCATTGTCTGGGTTAGTTGTCTCTGTTGGTCTTATGAGGTCCCCTCCAGGTCCTTCCATCTTTCCCCCAACACTTGCACCGAGAGTTTCGTCCCATGCTTGGCTGCAAGTCCCAACATCTGTGTTGATCTGCTGTTGGCTGGAGCCTCCCAGATGACAGTCAAGTTAGGCTCCTGTTCACTGAAAGCACTTATAAGTGGATATTAGTCCTCTAGTACAGGATAAACATACTACAATCCACAGACCCAAAGAAGCTAAATGACAAGGAGGGCCCAAGGGAGGGTACCGGAATGTCACTCAGAAGGGGAAATAGAATAGACAGGGGAAGTGGATGAAGAGAGGAAACTGGGAAGGAAGTGGAATGGGGGCCGGGAAACAAGGGTTGGGATCATAAGTGGGGAGAATTGGGGTTGGGAGGTGAGAGGGCTGAGAACAAGAAAGGAAATTGGGGAGAAACGTCTCTTGGTCAAGCTGGAGGCCTGCTACAGGATAGGCTCCTGGGAGGATGTGGGTGTGATTCTAGATGAGACTCCTAATGTGGGGAGAGGACCTTGAAGACTGAAGTGACCACCTCCTAGCCAGGCAGGAGTAGTGGAAGGAGGGGATCAACAACCCACCAACAAAACCTGTGAACCAAAAACTGCCCTGACTGCAAGACATGCAGGGATAATGAGGGAACAAAAATAGAGGGAACGTCCAAACAAGAATTCGCCCCGAGACCCACCCTACTATAGAGAGCCAGCCCCTGACACTAATAATGATACTCTGCTGTCCTTTCAGTCGATATCTTAAGATGAGCCTGAACATTGCTCTGATACTTTAGTGGATTCCAAATTGTTGATTTGCCAGAAGAAATAAGCAAGTGTGTATCTATTCCTACTCTGAGACTTTTTCCTTCTAACATTTTCAGGAAGCAAGTCAGGCCTTACAGTATTATGAACGACATTTTGAAACATCACAGCAGACAGGACAAGAACAAATATTAAGACTAGTTGATTCTTGCTGAATATGCTCTATGGTTATAGCTTCTACCATGCTAGTGAGAAACACTAGCAAACACCACTAGTAGGATAACTGGTAGTTATTGTGAGAAAAGCTTCTTACATTAAAGTACACACATTCCCCACTTACTAAAAAAGAAAATGCACAAGACTAGAGATGGCACAATGAGTAAGCCTACTTACTTACTATAAAAGCAAGAGAGCCTGGGTCCGCACCTCCAGCACTCACGTGAAAGCTGGGCACATTTGCACATGCCTGTCTGTACCTCTAGTGTTGCGGGCAGAGGCAGGTGAATCCGGACCTGCCTAGTCAGCTATTTTGCTGACTTTAAAAGCTCCCAATTCCGTCAGATCCCCTTCTCAAAACATAAGAAGGACAACAATAGAGGAAGGCAGAAACATCAGTACACATACTTGCACGCACACGCATATACCACACGCAAATATGCAAAAAAAAAAAACAAATAAAAATTAAAAAGAACATTAAGAGAGTAAGAATTACCTCATTACAGTATAACAATTATTAATAGCTCTGCTGTACCCTCATTAAAATTAAAATGTTCACTTCGCGCTTATGTTACACGTTTTTAATATTTTTTGAGATTATAATATCATTTCACTTATCCTTTCTGTTATGGTAAGTTAAAAAAATGGTTAGTAATGTTCATTATCAAAACCAATAATTATTGCGGCAGTATTCTCTAACCTGCTATTATAATCTCTAAAAGGCACAGACACTTGTTAGATTTTGGATAAGCCTTATCTAAGGTGGGGTGAAAAGGTAGGTCCACCTCAGCTATCTCGTTATCTCCCAGCCTCTGTCCCATGCCGTCTGCTTTAATCATTTCTCCCTGAGCTACTTCCCGTCCACAATCCCAAAACACTTGCTTATGCTCTACACCTGGGCCACTCTCTCAATGCAGAACTTCAGGGTTCCTCCTCCCAGCCCACATGGTTCTTTACCTATCCCCCCATGGGGACTCTGTCCCCCCTTTCTCTCCTCGGTACCTGTCTCCTCCCATGATCCTTCTGTCCTCCAAGCCCTCGAACCTTAGCTCTGTCCCTCACTTCTGCCCTGCCCAGGTGTAGGCCTTTTATTCAGCCAATCAGGAAAGCGAGGTTACACAGCAATACTTTAGGTATGCGATAGTTTGCTTGTGAAAGACAGCAAGCAGACCTCAGGACCAACATAGTTAATGATCATATACAAAGCACCAGACCATGCTGTTTAACCTTTCCAACTTCCACACTCCAATGAATTTCCCCCTTGCTCTCCTTCAAATCCATGACCTCTTTTTCTTTACTTGCTAGTGCTGGTGGCGGTGGTGGTGGTGGTGGTGGTGTGTGTATGTTTGTGTGTGTGACCAACTGATGGCTCTCTCTTTGGGAAGACTATTTCTCTCACTCTCAGTGTTTCTTAGTAGCCTGTAGTTCTTTTGTCGGGTTGATGCCTTATAAGCTTTCCCTCTTCTCTGTTAGCATGTTCAGATCATGTTTAGGTAGCCATGTTGATTAGACCTCATGCATGCAGTAACTATGATGTTTCTCTTAGGAGATACAACCTCACAGATATTCACATACAAAGTAAATGTAGATAAGTGTATAACTTTTTGTGTGTCTGACTGAAGAGATGTGAGGCGAGAGAGAGAGAATATAAAACCAAGCTTGTTGTCCAAAGATATATGTTATTTGCCATCCTCATTGAAACACCAAATCATTTAAACTATTTTCAGTCTTTTCCAGAAGACCATATTTGCACACTCCTAAGAAACTGGTTTTCAGAGATTGCCTTCTACGTTTGAATAGATTGTGTCATGTATTCCCATAGTTCTGAACAGATATTGAACTAGTACCATTTGCTTTTCTGGATTGTGACAGAGCAACTAAGATGGACATAATATACCTGCGGGGGCTGGGTTTTGTTTGTTATGGTTTTGTAATAAAAGCAAAGCAATAGTTTCTGACAATAGTCATGACATTGGTCACAGATTAAGTTAATGGAGAATGTGCAGGAGAGGTCTTTCTGTAGAATAAATGTCATCTGTCCATCGGGCAAAAAAATATAGAGAACTTGCTTCTTTGTGTTTCGGCTCCAGCATGTTGCCTCCAAAGATGGCTGTTTTTAAAAATGTCTATTGGTGGGGGCTGGAGGCATGGCTCCACAGTTAGGAAGACCTTTATTTGAGTCCTCAGCTTCACGGCAGCTCCAGCTGTCTGGAACTCCAGTTCCAGGGGATCTGATGCCCTCCTCTGGCCTCCTTTGCTATCAGGCATGCACATGATATACACACATACACACACACACACACACACACACACACAAACACAAACACACACATACACACACAGGCAAAACATCCATACCCGTAAAAAGTAAAAAAATAATAATAAATTACATTCAAAATAATGGCTGTCAGTCAGTTGTCGAGTCCTCAACATCAAGCTAGAAAGAAAAATAACACGACTCAAAAGTACCTCATGTCAGAGACTTGCTACCTCAGATCACTGTCTGTGAAGACATTATCACTTATGCTGACCTTTGTCCAGCCTTTGACGGTGGGTTCCAGTTTATAAGCACTCTCTCATGGTGTTTTATTTCACTTTTCATTTCCCTCTGTGTTCAAGGAGCACCTCTCTCCTAATATTTACATGTAAATCTTTCCACAGCAGCAACCCAGCTCACAGGTACTACCTGGCTACGGATCCGGTCACCGGAGATTTGTACGTTTCTGATACCAACACCCGAAGAATTTATCGCCCGAAATCACTCACGGGAGCCAAAGACTTGACTAAAAATGCCGAAGTGGTAGCGGGGACTGGAGAACAGTGCCTTCCCTTTGATGAGGCCAGGTGTGGGGACGGAGGGAAGGCTGTGGAAGCGACACTCATGAGTCCCAAAGGTACTGGCAGTCATCAATTTAGGCTTTTCGTTTTGCTTTATTTTTTATATATAAAGGTGGAAAAATCCATCTAGTGCTTGATTGTGTCTGGTGCTGAGTCTAACATTTTATCGCCAACTATGTTCTGGAAAGCTACGCCACATCTAGTGTTTTAAAAGCCATTTAGCACAAAACTGCTGGAAACTTAAGTTGATTTTTACAGTAAATATGAGTTTCTTGACTTCTTTAAAAACAAAACTCATCATGCTATTTTTCCCCCCACTTTTCAAAGACTGAAGCAACCAGTCTATATTATTCGGGTCACGTCCTGTTAAACTTCAGATTCCTTCATTGTCCTGGCATCTCCTTGTCATGAACGAGTCCCAGGCCTCTGGGAAACCGTCACTTAAGCAGCCCTGTTTGCTCTCACCCACTTCAGAGCTGTTCAGCTTTTGTCTCTATGCCATGGGAAAAACTGCCTGCCATGAGGAATCTGGGGAGGTGACGGGCTAAAATTCTGTGTGATAAAGGCTTTAAAGGAGTCAAGATTGAGTTCCTTGCTCAAGTATTACGCCATCCAGCACAATGGGCTTTGCCTTGGAAACTTTTTTATTTTCATTATAACCAGTGAGGATTAATTGAGCAGGGGCTGGAAAAAAAAATATTTGCTATACTGAATTATTCATAATGGCAAGTTCCATTGTAAGAAGGTCAGCTAAACACTAACCTCGGCTCAGATCTGTCTTTGTTGGAAAGAATGTCATGACTATAAGCCGACACTAACAGAATCTAAGCCTTTTTCTGTAATGTATATAGCCTACCTTGGGACATTAAATGTTATTTTGTATTTGAAACTTACAAGTACTCTACCTTTGAGGTTCCTACACTTGGTAGAGACTCTTAGAGATTTGAATTCTTTATTGTGTTCCTTTATTTACTTAAATGTATTTGAATTGTAAATGTGTGTGTTTTTTCATGCTTTATTAGGATTTTCCTATCATCAGTCTTACCTGCTAAATACAACCCATTTTATTATCAGGGCTAAGTTTTTAATTTGTCCCTGGGCCTAAGGACTTGATCAAAATTAATCATTAAAAAAAAAAAGTAACACTTAACTTCTCTTGGATAAAGGAATGGCGATTGATAAGAATGGACTGATCTACTTTGTTGACGGAACCATGATCAGAAAGGTTGATCAAAATGGGATCATATCAACTCTCCTGGGCTCCAATGATCTCACGTCAGCCCGACCTTTAACCTGCGACACTAGCATGCACATCAGCCAGGTAGTGGATTAAGCCAAGCTGTTTGTCTTGCTTTGGAGTGACTCAGTTTGCTCTGTCAGTGATGTATCTGTCTCTATTTGCCGGTGACGGCACCACGTTAAGCTGTACCTCTCAGGCACAGGAATGGTTAGGATAAAACTGTTCTGTTTTAATGTATATTCTGCAGTTGACGGATTCTGGGAAATACAGAACAATTAGCGCTAAGAAATGCTAAGCATGTAATAAAATTCTACTAAAGTAGCAGCATGCAGATACTCTAAAAAGAACAAAACAGCTTAAATCCCTAATCTTTTGATTGCGTGGGCTCCTTGAGTACGAGGGAAAACACACTATGATTAGTCCCAAGAGGCTTATATTTAGAATTAGGAACTTAACTATTGGCCTGATTGAGAACACAATAGACTACTAATGTGTTTGTAACCTCGGAAGCCTTGATACTTGGCTGTTGTTGCTACTACAAGGAGCATATGTGTTCAGATCTCAGCAGTATCTGACTCACTGCATAGAAGAGCATTTGCTCTCTGGCTGTAAGCAGCAAACCTTTCCATCCACTCACTGCATTTTTAAATTAGATGTTATTTCTTAACGTTCATCTCCACTCAAAAATGTTAGGTTTGTTTTACCATGGCTAGTGAAATAAAAACAATTTTAAAACAGTTTATCAAATTAAGGCTAATTTCCCTAAACGGTCTAATTTACTCTGCTAGCAAATCAACTGCCCTGTAGTAACTGGCTAAGCAGGTCATTTCTTTCTTTATTAAGGTACGCCTGGAATGGCCCACTGACCTTGCCATTAACCCCATGGATAACTCCATCTATGTCCTGGACAACAATGTAGTTTTGCAGATCACGGAAAACCGCCAAGTTCGCATCGCTGCGGGGCGGCCCATGCACTGCCAGGTCCCCGGAGTGGAATACCCTGTGGGGAAGCACGCGGTTCAGACCACGCTGGAATCAGCCACCGCCATCGCTGTGTCCTACAGCGGGGTCCTCTACATCACCGAAACTGACGAAAAGAAAATTAACCGGATAAGGCAGGTCACAACAGATGGGGAAATCTCCTTAGTGGCTGGAATACCTTCTGAGTGTGACTGCAAAAATGACGCCAACTGTGACTGCTACCAGAGCGGAGACGGCTACGCCAAAGATGCCAAACTCAATGCACCGTCCTCCCTCGCCGCCTCTCCAGATGGCACGCTGTACATTGCAGATCTGGGAAATATCCGGATCCGGGCAGTGTCCAAGAATAAGCCTTTACTTAACTCTATGAACTTCTATGAGGTTGCCTCTCCAACCGATCAAGAGCTCTATATCTTTGACATCAACGGCACCCACCAGTACACCGTGAGCTTGGTCACAGGTGACTACCTCTATAACTTCAGCTACAGCAATGACAACGACATCACTGCCGTAACCGACAGCAATGGCAACACCCTCCGAATCCGAAGGGACCCGAATCGGATGCCCGTCCGGGTCGTGTCTCCGGATAACCAAGTGATATGGTTGACCATTGGTACCAACGGGTGTCTGAAGAGCATGACCGCCCAAGGATTGGAACTAGTTTTGTTTACTTACCATGGCAACAGTGGGCTTTTAGCCACCAAAAGTGATGAGACCGGATGGACCACATTTTTTGAGTAAGTATATGAAAATTTGACTCCGATTATAAAATATCAATATCATAATAGAGTCTTTAATGATACTACATGCTTAAGGACTGGAAGGAAGTCCTAAGGTTTCCATAATTTTTAGGTTTCTCTTTGGAAAAAAAGAAAGGCAAAATTATGAAAATTAGATGCAGAGCCCTGGAAGAGACCCATACATGTGAAACTCCTCAGAGATTAAATTTCATTTAGCTCCATGATAAATTTGCCTCTCCTTAGGAACTGACATTTTGCCCCGAGTACACTTAGCAGATTAGTGACAAACCTTTCAAAGGACAATCCGTAGCTTTGGTTTTAGGCCTAAACCCTCTGGGTTTGGATTTGCCTGGTTGCTAAAGCCGACTGTGATGGGAGGGTTTCGTTGAAGGAAAACTTTGAAAATCATTTACAGTGAACTTGGCTGCTTACCTCAGTTACTGCAGATGTTATTATCAAACAGGGGGCTCAGCTCTTCAGACTCAGTTCTTGGAGAAAGATAAACTACACTTTAAAAGGACTTTGCCACCAAATGCAAATCAGGACGTTGGCCACCATTTGAAAGCATGTGAGGAGGTGAGGGGGCGCTTAGGAAGCCAGGGCATTTGTGTGGAGAAGTGACCCAGGCGATATGTTCTCTGGTCACATTTTCTGAGGTCAGTGAGAGTGAAATGAAAATTAGCTGTTACATATTTTATGCTGTGTGTGCTTTACAGTGAGCCCATGTGTGACACCATTTTCCATGGCTTGTTCACCTGACTAACGTTGTGCAAGCGATGAGGGGAGATTAGCTGCACTGAGATGACTTGTTGGCAAGTTCCAACCAGTCCTTGGCATGACTATTTTGAGTTCCTTAGTGTGATTTTTCACAGTGATATGCTGAAGCATACATCTTTTCTCCAAGAACACACCTCTGAAGTCACCAGAAAAAGTTATCCAACACACAAATATTTTTCATACAACTTCTCTGGAATGGGTCCTACCCAGAAAGCTTTGTTCTCCTATAGTTCGAGCGGCTTTTCTTTTTTTGACAGGTTCCCTTTTAATAAAACGAATGTTCCCCCAGCAGCATGGTTTTGTCAGAGGAACAAACCTTTTCAATTGAATTACATTAAAATTCTGTTCTTAGCATTCCTTTTCCTCATTTCAGGATCGCAATGGGAAAGGAATAAATTGGGAGCTAATGGAAGGTTCTTCCTTTGCAGCGCTTTCAAAGTGATAGCAGGCTATGCTGCCATAGAGGGAGAAGGCAGGGAGAGAATGTGCAGCCATTAGACAGGCCTGCGCAGGAGAGTGCGCCTCATTAGAGGGTCCTCGGAGATGGCGGGGCCTGGGGTAGGGTTTCTCTTTAGTTGAAAGCAGGGAGAGAGAACAGAGTTCTCTGTTCTCTGCTGAGTTTCCAGTACTGTCTAAGACTCAAACTTGGCTCTGTGGGCCACTTTTGAATGTGTCCTTGCTGGGTCCAAAATTGACACTGCACAGTTCTCCATGTGGTGACTCCCAACATGCAAACTGGAAGCTGACAGGAGGTTTACTGAGGTCCACAAATTTATCCAGGCTTGGAAAATCTGAGAAATGGGCACACTCTATTAGTGGGGTAGATTCAGGGGAGTTTGAACAAATTTGAGGTTCTTTTTTTTAATTTTTTTTAAAGAAAAGATGGTGTACAAAAAAAATAATAATAACCTTTGACTGTCTCTGACAAGGACTGTCTTGCATGCTTTTCAATCACTTGCCCCTGGCAAGGCTGCCTTGCCAGGCCAAAGGATGAGCTCAATTCTAATTCGACTTGATAGGATAGGATGGGGGTGGCTCCCCTTTTCTGAGGGGAAGGGGACATGGGGAAGATGGAAGGAGAGTGGTACCAGAAGGAGAAGAGAGAGGGAACTACAATTGGGATGTAAAGCGAATTAATTAAAAAATAAAATCCCACTGGGAAAAAAAAATAGCCTTTGAGAAATGAAAGCGCTTTCAGGAATCAGGGAGTCAGTTGGTCAGTCAGTCCTGTGAATATGACGGGAAAGCATTGTTCTCACCTTTCCCAGTGCTGCGACCTTTTAAAACAGTCCCTCGTGAGATTATCTTCGTTGCTCCTTCATAACTGTCACTTTGCCTCTGTTTTGAGTTGTAATGTAAACGTCTGATATGCGGCATATCTGGTAGAGGACCCTTTGGAAGGGCCAAAACCCACATGTTGAGAACCACTGTTCTGGTAAGTCATAGTCACCAGTTCAGACTCTTCACACGTCACATTTGTGTGGCCGTTAGAAAGTATAGCTAGGAAAATGTCAGCAAAAGTTAACTATTTCGGAAAATTATTATGAGACTATTTAAGCCACGACCACACAAAATCTCTCAGGTATATCTTAAGAGTATATTTGACCAAACAATATTTGCAAATTACTGTTCTAATAAAACTAACAGAAGTTTTTGTTTAAAAAAAAATGTAATGCATATATATGATCCCAGCACTCAGGAGGATGAGGCAGACTGAGGGCTTATGAAGCCACCCGGGTGACACAGTGGGTTAAAAAACCAGAATGAGCTACATCGTTAAACCTCATCTCAATTTTTTTTGAAGTTTTGAAAGCAGTGTATCATTTTCCTCTCCATATTCTCAGCAAAATATATATGTATATATAATTTTAAAAAGCACCAAGAAGTATGTATGCTTTAAAATAAGAAGAGAAAGCAGAAGAAAAGAAAAGAAAAAAAGAGTATCTAAAAGTGGTAAACCTAAGGACTCCAGAACTGCCAGGCCCAAATGAGATGATTTTGCATTGTTCTTACTCTGTACACGCTTGCAAAAGGGGCCGCTTCTTCCGAGGCTTGACCACACAGCAGCAGTCTTGTCCTCTTGGACCAGGCCTCCAGGACCCATTCTCATAGAAGAGCGCGTTTTCGTCTGTGAGCCTTGGAGTGGAGAAATGGGTAAATCTCGGCCCTACTTCAACTTATAGGCGCCTTGGCCAGTCTCTCCTCACTGTAGCCTGGCCTCCACGGGCGACTGCTGAGTGCCCTAGTAGAGGATGGGACCTCTGAGTCCCTGACAAGATGATGCTTTTTTTTTTTTTTTTTAAAGAGTTCATCTCTGGGCTCTCACGGGCCAAGCCACTGGAGGGGCCATAGGATGTGGTCAATCGTATGATGGCAATATAAGGCTCTATTTATGAATTACTTAGTCAGGAGTGATTGAATCCAAGCTCTGTCTGTCTCTGCCTCCAGCGTTGACCTTGCTGTCTACTGCCTGTTGACACCGTCTCTTGACCAGTGTCTCCATCTGCCCACCTTGCAGGTGCCTCAAGTGCTGTCCATCGTGCTAAGCTCTTTGTTCTCACACTTGCATGGTCAGCAGAACTAACTGTATCCCAGCTACAGAGAGAGAGAGAGAGCAGCAGCCTTTTGCTGTTACTTTGTATTTACTTACTTGTCTACAGGGTAGTCTGGGAAGGTCTCTTCTTGTTAGCAGCCATCTTTAGCTGCACTGGGGAAGAGGGTATATGAAGGAACAATAGTGTCTGCCCTATGTGTGTTCCTCAGGGGACTCTGGGAGCCAGCCAGTCTGCAGTTGCTAGCCCAGATAAGAGCTCTGCCCTTATCTCATACCCAACTGCAGGCCTTCATGCTCCTCTTCCTCAGTGCCTCAGTCTTGGCTGTGTTAACCCTTCATCTTCCTCTTGAGACACAGGCCTATGTTCTAACAAGGTCTTTTCATCACAGACCCTTGTAACCTATAGAGAGGTAGGTCCTCGGGCCTTCCTCTGCTTTTATAATTATTAGTGTTCTACTTCCTGTTTTTGTAGTACTGTGTGTCTAATTCACACATTGAAAGATGCTTGTTAAGTTCATAAAAAAAGGGATTTGATGGGTTTGACAATGGCCAGGGTTTTACCAAAAACCACAAGGAGATTGTAACAGGGGGGAAAAACATTGCCAGCTGAGAAACATGTTTTCTGTGACTTTCACCACACCAGTCCCTTAAGCTGGTAGATGGTCTATAATCATCTTTGGCATAAATACCTTATACAAAGAAACGGCAGCTTTCAGTCCAAATCCTCATTTGTTTATGGCCAGATTCTCAGCTAGCCTGGTATCTAAAAAGGGTTTGAAATTCAAGCTTTTATCAAATAGAAACAGATGGAAGACCTGGAATCAATCAATTTGCCTACTGTAAAAATATGGTTACCATAGTTCCTGCCAAAGAAACACTAAAGGAGGGAGAGTTCGAGTAACTTACTTCACATGTTTTCATTTTATTATTTTTTGTTGTTAGTACAAACTTTAGTATGCCATTATTAGCGCTTTGCAGTGCCGGTGTGAGTACAAAGAAAGCAATCTGTTGACTCCATTGTGGTCCCACAACTCACGGAGTGTTGCCGTTCACACACGGTGCTCCTCATAGTTTTTTTGCTGAAGAAAGACTGGAGGCAGAAAGCCAATGGGTGTAGGTGGGTGAATATTCATTTATCGAGCAGAGTCTGATGAAAACCTAGAGCTTGCTCTCCCCAAAGCAACTCTGAAAAAATACTGTATAAATGATCTCTTCCTCTCTGGGATGGTTTAAACCCCTGCAACAATCATTAATACAAAAAATGTCGATATTTCTCATTTCTCTTGTCCATCTTTTGATGTTTACCCAATAGTCCTTGTTTGCTCACTTTCTTTTTCTTTATAAAATAAGAACTTCCTCAGTTGACCTTGTTACTTAAATAATTGAATGGGAAAAGTAAAGACTTAATATCAGCAGCATTTTATTCTGAAATACCACTTTTAAGGAGCCAGGCAGCAAGAACTATGTATATAGCTGGTCTCGGTGGCATACCATCATAATCCCAGAAATCAGGAGGCAGAGGTAGGAAGATTGGGAGTTTCAGACCAGCTTGGGTATAGCAATAGTTCAAGGGCAGTTGAACTATGTAGCAAGGCCCTGTCTCACAAAAGCAGGGGTCAGGGATGAATTCATGGAAAGACTGCTTTCTAAACAATGATAGGCTCTG